CTCACTCCGGGCCTCGTTCTACACCACTACAAAACCCTTACTTTGTAAGGGTGCCCTTACTGCGAAAAAGTGATTAATTTTCCCTTACCTCATTTTCCGTTCCACAACCATCTACGAAAACCCTACACTTAGGCGGACTTACATTTCAGAAGCCTCTGTTTGCGTTCTAAGTGGCCGAAAGACACACCTGATGTTAAAAAAAATAAAAAATAAAAATGGTTCTTCCGTGGATGTTAGGGTGCCACCCCCTACTTTCAAGTCACCTTCACGGCCGTCCTCACGGTAAGGGCCGTTTTGGCTGGGCGGTACTTACTTTTGTAGGGCCCGCCCTTACGGCCGCGAATGTGAAAACAAATTAAACTTCTTTTTCTTTGTGATTAGGGAGGGGTGGAACGATGAAAACCTTACATGTAAGGGTTTTGTAGTGGTGTCGAACGAGGCCCTCCGGGGGCCACCGGGGGATAACGCCTTGATCAATTTGGAATGATAGCCAGAGAAAGGCGATGAGGCGGGAATGGGTCCGAGAATTCAGACGGGGGTCTCATTGGGAAGGAAGGCTCAATATTAACCCAGTCCTTAAAGGCCAACTTGTAATCTCTAGAGGGACTCTGTTCTGTCAACACAATTCGGTCCCCCCCCCATTCCACCCGTGCTATCCATCCTCCCCGCTGTCCCCCTAGCCAATCTGTGCAGAAGGAGGTACTTGCCTTCCTCTCACATTTTACTTTTTTTTTTTAAATATAGAGAAAAGCATTTCGCGCGGTCCTGATTTAGGGAGAGACACCACCGGTCAAGCCGGTTTCTTTCTCTTTTTTTTTTTTTTTTTTTTTTTAAAAAAAAAGGCCAAAAGCCGGTTTCTTTCTCAATTTTACTTTTTTGAAATCTGAAATAGAAAGTTTAACTTCCAGCAGCATTTAATCCCCTTTCTTTGCATTTGTTTTGAATGTTTAATTCACAACAACTCTGTCACACCCTTGTGAACTGGCTCAACCAGATAGAGTAAGTGGGACCTGATCCCAGTTCAACCGTTGAACTGGCTCAGTTGGCGCTCAACCGTGTACTATGTGGGACTTGGGCCGGGCCTAGGTAATTGACAATTCTGGTATTTTTCCCAAAAACGAAAAAATAAAAATTACGTGGGAGTCACAAAAACGAGTTAGAATTGCACTATCGGCCAAGATACAGTTTCAAATTGCAGTTCGGGCAATGTATACAACCCAGTTTTCTGGCCAGGTAGGGTGCCCGAAGTGCAATTGCAAACTGTATCTTGCCCCATATATAGTGGAATTATAACTCGTTTTTGTGACTCTACTACTGAAGTTACCCCTTTTTGTTTCGAATTCCCTTTTTTTGTCCCAGGTCACCTGTGGTCCTGTGCAACTACGGGGGCAAGGTCCCACCTGGGCAAATTAGGAGATTTCGGCCGTTGATCTTTGCTATCTACGGTCAGTATCTCCTAATTCGTGCAAGTGGGACCTAGCCCCGGGTAGCAGGTCCAGTTACCTCTTCGGAGGTCCCAGATTAAGGGCCTCGCTGCACTGCTCTCGAAATGTGGAAAACGAGAGTGAATCTTCCTCTAGAATATGGAACGATACACGGCCATGAGTTTTGTCTTTTGTGCACGTCGAGAGTAAGGCAGCGAGGCCCTAAGTCGACGGACTTTGTTCCAGGGCTCACCGGCTCACCCGTGGACATTCCTTTTTTTTTGTTTTTTTTTTTTTTGTTTTTTATTAAACTGATCAGAACAGATACTACACTTGATCTTAGCCAAAAGGCCGAGAAAGGTATACCCGCGGACATTCCAAGCGAGTGGTTCTCTTTTTTTTTTTTTTTTTTTTTTTTTCCTTTTTAGGCGAGTGGTTCTCGCCTGAGGTCCCAGATTAATTCGACGGACTTTGTTCCAGGGCTCACCCGCTCACCCGTGGCCATTCCAAGCCACGGGCGGGTGGTTCTTCTTGCTCATTCCGCTCTCCTCTCCTGCTTTTGGAGGACGAGGGCAACGAAGCGTAACCCTGCAGGATACTGTCTTCCCCCGAACACAACGCAGTGTCACTCGTTCTGGCTGCACCGGACCGGGAAAATGGATGGTATACATTCGCTATCGGGGTGCATTCTGTTCGGGGGAGCGGGGTAGTAGAAGGCAACAAAAAAGAGAGGGCAACAAAAGAGAAGACTCGTTATCAGGGTGCATTCTGTTCAGAGGGTATAGAGAGGGTGTAGGAAGGGGGTTAGAGAGAGTGGGGGGTTGAGAGGCAAATGAAGAGAGGGCTGGGAGAAGAGAGGAGGAGCTGGCACACGCGCGGCGGGATAGAGAGAAAAGGGGAGAGCAGAGGCGAGAGAGAGAGAACAGAGAAGGGGCGGGATCCTGGAGGTTTGGGGCATACTCACAGTACTAGGACTTTTTTACTTATATGTGGACGCAATTGCAGTCGGATGCATCCAGATCGGTCCGTAATGACGGTCAGATACATTCAGGAGAGTGGTACTGTGAGCACGCCCTTGGATTGGCCAGTGGAGTGTAATCGCTGTGATGGAGGTGACCGATGACCTACAGACGTGACAACGTGTGTGCAATTTTGTTGCCGTCATTTGCAATTCCGTGCTCAGCCTGGCAGTGTGGCAGCAGCAGCGTTGTCTGTCCCTTGGGCACATTACTGCGACCAGAAGCGTTAGCTCTCAGTGTCTCACCCAGATGCTTGCGGAGAGGGAGGGTTGGGAGAGAGCTCAGAGAGGTGTGTCTTTGCTGTTGTATTCACATAGTCACATTTGGCTTTTCGTCTAGAGAAACGAAGAGGAAGGATTCCGCGAAGGAGTGCTTTTGTGCAGGTACGCAACCCGGCCACCATAGCCAGACCGCAGTGCCACGCCCGCATCGGTATCGCGATCGCCATAACCGCCGTTGTCGCATGACGTTGCTCGTTCAACCACGATCGAGACGATAGACGATAGGGACCCCGGCCGATCGGGACCATAGAAGCTCTTTCTCTCTTCTCCTCCACGCCCTCCGCCGTCGCCGTTCTTGATCTTGTCGAAGTAGAGAAAGAGAGAGAGCGAGAGAGAGAGAGAGAGAGAGAGAGAGAGAGAGAGAGAGAGAGAGAGAGAGAGAGAGAGAGAGAGAGAGAGAGAGAGATTTTGAGGTTGCTCGTGATCGGAAATTGAAGCGTGAGTGTGAGAAAGTCACTGATTGGTGGTCGGGATAAAGGGGGAAAGGAAAAGAACAAAGGTAAGATTTTTTTTTTTTTTTTCCTGATATGCTCATTCTCGTGGGAACGAAGTAACTGTTGGATCTTTTTCGATTTCGTGCTTGCAAAGAAGAAGGTTTCTCGTCAATCCCTTTGGACTTGGTGAGAAAGGGGGAAAAAAAAGAGAGAAAGATAAGATTTTGTTGTGATATGTTAAGAGCGGCAGGTGTCAGAGTTCTGTCCGACGCTGCGGGAGTACTGCGTGCCTGAGGGCATACTCACACTAGCACTTTTTTACTTATTTTTGACGTAATTGCGACCAGATACATCCATGTCTGGCTGTAAATGCGGTCAGATACATTTACGATGGTGCTAGTGTGAGTACAGCCTGAGTGTGCGACGAGAGTGCGACGAGAGTGCGACGAGAGTGCGACCTGCGGATCTGGAAGTACCGGCAAGTACTGATACTAAAAACACGCTTTTCTTTTCTTTTTCCCTTCCCATCGCTCT